TTTTTTTTGAAACTAGTAGGAGAACAGTATTTATTTGTTATTTCTTTTTATATGTTGCGTTCATTCTGACCTTTTGTACTATGAGTTTCTCTACCTTTCATTTCCGCCGACCAGCGAGAGAGATCATTATTTTGCACTCGGAAACTAGTTTTGACAACTTTCTCACCATGTATGTTCCAATTATTTTTGCAACCAAGGAATTTATATGCTATTTACTGTAAAAGAAAGAAAACAGTAGTAAGAGAGAGAGTTTATTCAATTTTACAAAAAAAAATGGAAGAGAAAAGGAAAAAAAAAAATCACAAATTATTCAGCGCGGCAAACAGCTCCCCGATTTTTTGAGTGCGTTCCTGGTATTTGGCCAGATCTTTCTGTAGCAGTGCGCGAAAATCACTGATTTTTGCATCTACGAAGGCTGTTAGAGCCTCAGGATCAGTAGGGAGAGACCACATTTGGAGCTCTCTGTCAATAAAATTAGAACGAATAGCTTGAAGAACAGTAGCTGCTGCATTCTTCAGTTCCACGAGAATATCCATCATTTCGAAGTAGCTGTCATAAATATGATGACGGCATACAACCGCCATTCTTTCATATTTGTCCACTACGTGGACTAAATAGCCCAGATTCACGTGGACTCGGAATTCATGAGTTCTGCCGTTCACGGAGACGAAACGCACCTCGTCAGTAAGACAAGGGATCTCTTCCGAGTCGGCAATGGAATAAGTAGGTGAACTCATGATTTCAGAGAAGAATAGGAAGTGAGAGTTGTAAGGAAGTAGAAGCTTGTTTTCAACTGGTACCTAGGAGATACCAGGAAGAACGAATTTGAGGGTGATTTCGCAACATTTCAACTTATATTTATACTAACTTCTCCAAGAATACTAGTCTCGCTAAACAATAGAGATTTTTTTGATCAAGCCTGAAATTGTATGGAAACCATCTTCTAAGTACCCAACCTAAACTTTTTTTGAAACTTTTTAAATTTTACTATCCATATTAACTATTGTTACATGCCCTTTCCCCTTTTGGCATCTTTCACATAACCAAACAGACCAGTTTTTATCTCGACTGTTGAAAGACAAGCAACAGGAAAAAACAGCTAGCTGTGCAATTATGTACTATTTACCACTTCAACTTATGAATAACTAGTTCTGAACCATTGCTCGAAATCGTTTTTATGATTAGAGCAACAGAGTAAAAGTTACTATATAAGGAAGTGACAACTCATTGAGTTACCATTCGCTCAAACCGAGCATCCCGCCTGCCGAACCGCCGCCGCCGCTAACCCAGCCGAACCACCTGCCGAAGCCGCCGCTACCGACCAC